TGTATAGTATACCCCATGATGAGTGCGAGGAATTAAAATCACCAGCTATCACCCAGGGATTATTCTTCACTACGGATGCAGTTTTACTAAGACTGACACAGAGAATGTGTTTTTCAGCTGAAGGGGGGGGGGGGCTGAACAGAATTAAGATGAAAATATTCTGGCGAATTCTGGCGAACCATTGGGGACAATCTCTATCACTTGTGCCTCAGGGCCAGTCATCCGGTCCGCCTCACAGATTTCGACTTCGTGCACCATGAAGGAGGTGGCCTTCCGTATTAAGGTAGCAATGCGTGTGTCCTTATTCAGTTTTTGACACACTGATCTGTACCCCGAAAGGCATATATTATTTTTGAGAGTTTCCTGCAAGAACACAATGTATGGCCTAATCTCTTGCGCCTTGATCAGCTGCAGCAGTGCAGCCTTACGTTTTAGAAAGCTTTCACAGTTTTACTGCCACAGAATAATGTTACCAGTTTTACCAGTCATTTCGATAATGACAGAGTTAACATGGCCTGTGGCGAGTCCTCCTACTCATTACAGTCCCCACAATCAGGCTCCTGCTGTATCTTTTTTGCCTTAACAGTTTTGCCCAAGTGTACCATTTTCATTTTAGATTCCAATACTCCTACTCTGCGTGTTAAATGAGGGGGATTTCCATTCATGTGCTCAATCAAGCTTGATTGTGTAGCTATGTCTTCTATAATTTGGTTGATGGTTTTGTTAATCAAATATAGCAATGTTTGTGGGTTTGTTTGTGAATCAGGGGGCTGACAAGGAGTGATCTCCAACCTCGCGTTTTTTCCTTCTGATGACGCTGGTGGCGAGATGGCCTTAACCTCATTTTGGTCCACGCACCGGAATCGGAATAGGAGACTCCGCCTCACGGTGTTAGCGCGAGTTCCGAAAGCGCTCGAATTCCGATCTCAGTACCTGCAAAGCCTCTTTGCATTTTCACACCTTGAAGCCCAAATTTCAGACTGCACTTTTTAGTGCTCTGGCGAATTACCCTGCGTTGCTTGCGCACCAGGTTGAGCAACCATGTTGACTTTTTCCGCCCACCTTCTTGGTTCATGAAGCCGGACCATGAAGCCAAAGCACTCTCTTGAGCGAGAGTGTCTGGCATTGCCGCGTCCCCTGGTACCAGACTGGTGCCTTCTGTCTGGATGACCTCTGGACCGGGAACGAGAACCGGATTGGGAACGGAATCTCGAGCATCCCCCAGGCGTCCTTGATGTCGATCTGGCTTTGCGTTGGGAGGAGGGACCCTTCCCTCCTTCAGAGTTTCCAGCTGCCTCCGAGTCGGTTGAGCCCGCTGCCAGGAGCGTTGGTGAGCAGGCCTGTGCTACCAGCGTCATTGATGCACGATGTAGGGCACCTGGAACCTCTTCTTGCATTAGTGGTCCGCTGTGTGGTGTGGTCGTTCACACAAAGCACACTTTGGACCACAGTTATGATCAGCAAGTGGCGTTAACATGCCGCAACCTTGACACCTTCTCGGATCTTTGCCTTTTGGGCAAACATCTGCCCTGTGGACCAAATCTCCACATGCGTAGCAGATGTCCACTTGTTTGCAGTATAAAGAGCAGGGGTAGCGCACAACATCATACAGTACACGTTGGAGGACTTGTTTTTCGTTGAACAGCTCTATTATTTTTGGAGTTTTCTTAATTCTTCGTACTCCTAAGGCTCCAGGATTACTGCAGTTGACAATCATGTCTGTCAGTTATGCTTCTCTGATGTCTGGGTTGATTCTACAGATCGCCCCCTTGCAGGTGTCGTCAGACGCAGCCACATAAGCTGCTACTTTGATGATGATGGTTCCAACACAGTGATGCTGGACCTTAGCGTAGGCCCGAGCGTTATTTTTCTGTGGCGGGTCTACGATCAAGATGTTTTGGAAAGGTTTGGCACATAATATATATTCACAGGTTTGCTCTGCCATCAAGAAAGCTGCCTTGGTGAGTGTTCTCTTGAATGCGATGAGGTCCGCCTTCCTGACATCCAGTCCACCTTGTGGCCGGACGATAATCTTGAAATAATACCTTTGTAGATTTGGGATCCCAGAGGCTTTCACGACGCATCTCATCACGCCTCGCGACTAGACGGCAGCGTGGACGCCACCATAGGCGTCCCCTTTCTCCAGCGAAGGGTGAGAAAGATGTGCTTTTTCGGCAAGCTTTTCTTCCTGCTCACAACTATATCCATCCTGAGCATTCCGCTTCCTCTGTATCAATATCCATGCCTTGTGCCACCGAGATGCTGTCGTTGGAGGCCATCATCAATCTGCGTGACGCGTAGGGCTAGGCCCACCGCCCGCCTCAGCGTGCCCACGAGCAAATCACGTTGGGGCTAGCTACACGGTAATGCGACGAGGTGGAGAAAGTCTCATAAAAGTTCAAAAACTCCATCCACCGGTAAAAACTTGCCATTCGCTTGTTCCTGGGAACAAGCTTCGTCGGTTGGTGCCCACTAAAAAGAGGCTGATGCGATAAAACCAGTCGAAGCAGTTCTAAGAACAGAAAGCCGATGTCGACGCACATCCGCACTTAGCGAGCGCCCTCAGCGTTCCAACTGAACCTAAGCATTCGCTTTTTATGATAGTTTGGAACCTTTTAGGGGGCGCTCCAAAAACATAAGCGAGGAGGAAATAGGAAGGCGTCGCTACGTTGGAAACTTGTTTTATCTAGGGACCTTATGTGCGACACGCGCAGAACGCATTCTGCAGTCGGTGCGGGGAACTTCGGCGCCGTGCCGTTAGCTTAGAACGCTACGAGACGCTCGCTGTACGAAGTTGCCTTTCTGCAATTAAAGAAGTGACCCCAGGGAAGCGTTGGTGAAGTCCGAAGTATTGTTGTGTCTGGGGCTGCTGCAGAAATGCAGACAAAATCAAAGGCAGCTCTTCACATGTAAAGCTGTCTTGGTTCTATTGCAAGTCATTTCGGGGGAACCGAACATGGAGCCGCGTTAGCGAAAGATAGAGCAAGAACGACACGAGAGCCGGAAAAGCGAGGTGAGCACTTCAACTTACCCCACACTGATCACAGCTATGTTTGCTGCCTCACGGCAAAGTCAACGGGTCATGCTCCCGCGGCACGGAGAGGATGACTCCAAAACTTTTTGGGCATATTTATTTATTTATTTTATTCATGAATACTACAGTCCTCAATTAGGGTTTTAGCAGAGCGTATATTAATTTGGTAAGTTTACAAATGGGCAAACACAATGAAAAGAAAACGAATAAAGTATGTACAGTATTTCAGAAGAAAGAAAAAAGACAAAAAGACGACAATTTTCAATGAATAAGCATAATGCGTTAACTCTACAAGTTTAGTTTTGTGATTTTTTAACAGGCCGCAAACGTTTAAAAATGACAGTACACGGCTGCTACTGTTTCATATTGCATCAGAACAACAATTATAAAATATTGATGAACCACGACGCAGCACATCGATAGAGTACGTGGCTTCATCTCCACAGATTGAGGCTTACCTCGAGGCATACGTCATACACGGCATTGACACGGACCTGACAAATGAGTTTCGCAGTGACTCGAGCGCCCTCGTCTTCTACCATCTGCTCCAAATCATAAACGTAACTAACAAGCTTTACTGATTTTGTTTGGTTCGCTTTTCAGAAGTGCTTATTCAGCTCAGAGATCATTTTGAAGACGCACTGCAGGTGGTACATTGTGAGATGACTATAACGCACCGCGCATGCTCTGCACGAGCACGTAAGCAAGTGGGAGCGCATTGGTGAAAATAAAAACGAGTGATATACATTCAAGATTTCTACTTTTTTACCAGATAATGGCGCTGCCTGTCCAGAGTTGCTGCGCTGCCATGCATTGTTTTGGCTCCGCATACTGTCACACCATGGTCAAAACAGAAAGACTTGACACGCATGTGTGCAAAATTACAACTGTGTATTGTTCGCAACACCCCTCATATAACACGGAAAAGAAGAGTGACAGGCAGTTAAAAAAAGTAGGCAAGATGAATTCAAGGTGCACTGCGCAAATCTAGGATTCAAAATGGCAAATCAGGAATAATGTAATACGGTCAATGAATTTAAGTGTGTTGATTTTGAGCGTGACACTAGGAGAGCTGACGTGAAATCGTCGGTGATTTTCTTTCTCTTTCTCTCTCTCACATACAGAGAGAGAAAGACGCAGATACTGAACTTTATTTACGAATGAAGTGCCACTGCAAAAGCAATCAGTCACATTAGAGTCAATTTTAGTTCTTTTGACCTGTCTTTACTTAGAGAGACACTAATGCGAAAGAAATCAATTTACACTGACAAATTATTTTTTGTAAACTCAGCTATCATGAATTTCGCCAGTGAAAGTGTTTATGATTCTAATAAAAAATGAAGGCTCTAGTCTTATTTGGGAATTTAGAGCACAACCTTAGCCTCTGAATGCAAGTGTCATGTAGCGCATATCAACGGTTTTTTATTCTGAACTTAACCCTGTTGTCTCGATCACAGTTCTATAAACCTGCCATCTTAAGCTTCTGCCTCTTTTAGAGCACACTTAAATTCCTTTGTTTTCATAAGTATGTAGTTTACGGTGGACGACTGATAGAAAAAAAACCCTGTGACATCAGAAATAAGTGGGACTGGAACATCAAAGTGACGTCACCTTTTGTATCATTGTCTTGCGTCTTTTTTGTCGTACCAAGTGTCTTTTCGCGGAAAAAATGGTGCTTTTGGTACTGCAAAATGGACTATGATTCTTGGCTCTACGTCTTGAACTTTTGAGTACTTGTAATGTACGTAGACGAAAGTGGCCTACATTTGCATGATTATATATTTTGCGGCTCGGGACACTCTCTATATGAAAAAAAAAAAACAGCTGCATTTTGCTGGCCGGAGCAAAGCCGTCATCTTTGGTGTCCGTTTAAGAGGGAATCTCTGGTTTAAGTAAGTGAAAACATAATATCTTTGCTATATAAACTGTAGGGTTACAGTGATGTTACTGTTAATTTCCTGTTTAGGTGGACGAGCAATGGGAGTTCCCCAGGGAGAATCTCATTTTGGAACAAAGTTTGGGTGAAGGAGAGTTTGGCCGCGTTGTTCTTGCCCGTGCCCGTGACATCGGTGGTGTTCGAGGTTTCACCACGGTGGCAGTCAAGATGCTCAAAGGTGACTTTCTTATCATTAGTGCCATAAGCCGACGTCGATTAACGGGCACTGCGGGATGCCTATTAACTGAGACAAGCAAATTATGTGGTATCTGCAGGTCTATTCAGACCGCGTGAGAAAAATTGGCTGCGTTGCTAGCGAACAAGGAGGGTGCTGATTCGTCCCACAAAAGGCGAATCATCAAGATCGTGCATGTGCTAGCTGCATGCCCTCTGTTTTTCACATTTAAAATTTGCTGTATCTATCTCTGTATTGCCTTTTTATTAATATACATTTGAGGAATGGTCTCTCATTTAGTATGCACTGTGTAACTTCCAGAGGCTAAGCGAAACATAAATTACAGTCTGCATATGCATTCTGGAGGTAAGCATGATGAAACGTCAGCATTGGGTGCATGGTCTGCTTCGTGGCAATCATACAATGACTTTTGCTATGTGGGAACTGGAAGCAACATAGATATACGAACCTGCTTGTTTATAACTGATTGTAGTTTACTACTTCACGAATCACTACACTTCTGTGGAGACCAGCCTCAGAAGCAAGTCGGCTTTGTTGTTTAAAAGAAGTGGCCAGCACCTGATGCTTATTGATGCATCGTCACACTCGATGACACTCAAAAAAATTACCCTGCTTCTCCAGCACAAAGCATACATACATATCCAAGCGACAGAAGCTATGCCACTCTGTAGAGGTTTGTTTAGTGGGGCAATAGTGTGTTTCATTGCCTTCATTTTGATGACCAGTAACTGTCTTACTTAGTAAATGCGAAGAATTTCTTAGCGAACTTCGGTGACTTAGAGCATATCTATCTATCTATCTATCTATCTATCTATCTATCTATCTATCTATCTATCTATCTATCTATCTATCTATCTATCTATCTATCTATCTATCTATCTATCTATCTATCTATCTATCTATCTATCTATCTATCTATCTATCTATCTATCTATCTATCTATCTATCTATCTATCTATCTATCTATCTATCTATCTATCTATCTATCTATCTATCTGTCTATCTATCTATCTATCTATCTATCTATCTATCTATTTGTCTATCTATCTAGCCACTTAGGTTTGGGTGCTCCCGTGGTCACCCTTTTGCCATGGCGTGAACCAAAATTAGCATAGGAATGTTAGATGGTTTGATGAATATAACGTGCGGATCAAAACATTAATAATGTCACCATCCCATCGCGTACGTCATCAAACACTTCTCGCCAGACAGTGGCACATACCCACAGGCCGGTACAGCTGCGGTGGTCTAGTAGCTAAGGTACTAGGCTGCTGACCCGCAGGTCGCGCGATCGAATCTCTGCTGCGGCGGCTGCATTTCCGATAGAGACGGAAGTGTTTTAGGCCCTTGTGTTCAGATTTGGGTGCACGTTAAAGAACCCCAAGTGGTCTAAATTTCTGGATTCCTCCACTACGGCGTCTCTCATAAACTTATGATAGTTTTCAGACATTAAACTCCACATATTAATCAATTACCCAAGGGCGAGTGTGAGCCGCTGGTATGCGGATATGTGCCACAGGTATCTTAGTATCTACCCAGGGATGACAAGAACATACATGGGCAATTTTAACGCGCGAGATTTAATAAATACCCAACATTGGTAGCGTCAACCCGATGAATGCAAAGAATAAATGTCAGGGTCCAAGCTGGAATTTAACCCAAGCATTCTGCGTGGCAATTAAGCGTTTTACCACAGAGCTACGACTGGTCTCTGAAATACTTTTCAAATCTATAGACGCTAATCTTCGTGAAACGTCAATAGAGGTTGCAGTGTTGCCTATCAAAGTTTTTAAACATGACATATTACTCCTTTGATAGAGTCGGCGCATTGGATTAACGCCAATTGTGATTGGTTGCGATGCACTGAAGTTGATTAATGTAGCAGCGTTCAGGACCAGCATCCTGGTGAGCATCAGCGCTGCGTATCAGCTTCTGGTGTTTCTAATACTAATGTTCCAGTTGGCATCGTTGCGCAAGTACAAAGAACTGCTTATATAAAAAACATCTGCTAATGTTTAAGATATGTCTGTGCGTGCAACATTTTGATATATATTTAGCGTCATTTCATGACGTGTCGCTCAATAGAAAAATTGCAACATGGTCACCTTCCCTCCTCATGCATGCTTCGTATAACATCAATTCCTAGGTACGTAGAATAGGCCAATTTTTTATCCTATCTGCTTCTCTTTCACTCAAAAATATGAACAATGTCTTTTTTATGTGTGTGTAACCATGCCTGCGCACTCTGAATATATATATTTAAAATCCTCGTAGAGGTTTATATGCATGTAGGACAAAGCGTAAGAGTATTTTTTCTTTACGTTTGAAAAGCTAGGCCTGCTTACTATAATAGAAAAAGACTGCGATCGTACTCTTCGGTTCATTAAACTGGCACTTGTTCCATATATGGTGTAATTGCTGTGCCAGATGGCTTAAGTACCGCTTTCATCATAACTTCAGAAGCTTGTGTTTGCTTTATATAGTCATACTCACTTTTTGCTTGCGCTGCTTCATGATGGTGGTAAAGTGACAAATGTTTTAAAATTACATTTCAAGGGAACCAGGTCCAACGAGTGAAGTGTTTCATTGAGTGTTTGAATGTGCTTTTCTCATCCCTATGAAACTTCAGTATACAGAGAGATCATGCAAATTATCTGCAATAAAAGTGGCCGGGTTACTGGTTTAAAATGTTCTGCATCTTTTTTTACCAATAAAATATTGTTTTTCTGCTAGTGCTTTTATTTTGTAGTAAGCAAATGGCGCTACATACAAGAAAGACGTTAATAAATTAATACAATATTTCAAGACGCCGATAAAAGTATTCAGCCTGCACGCTTGTTTCTCTTCCCCCTGCTAGGTAACTGGACACCAGCTGAGGAGCAAGATTTGCTGTCGGAATTTTGTATGCTCAAGGAAGTAAACCATCCCAACGTTATACGTCTTCTTGGGGGCTGCACCACAAAAGGTAAGAGTCGGGGGCTACCCATAAAAGGTGGGCCTTTATGCGATACCGATTTTTTAAATGAAAATTCTGGGACGGTTAGGCTCCTGTCATTTTCGCACTCTAACTTTATGTCGAGGCGGGAATACATTGCATAGCCTAAATAACATGGACGTGCATATTGTTTCAGTTTGACGTATTAGAGGGGTCGCGTTTTGTGCACGCCAGCCACGTTCAATTTTGACATCACCTTTCAATTTTGAATAAATTATTCTGTTACGCACATTTTTAATGAGTTCTAAAATATGGCTATGCTATATGTAGTCATGCACCACAGCATGCTTATATTTCAACTTTCCAATTCTAAACGATGGTCCTAAAGTAGAGTAAAAGTTAGTACAGATTCTTTTTTAATTAGCCATAACAGTAGAATTTTATCTGCGGCAAAGTCGTTCTACCTAGCCGTGAACCTTATGTGTGAAGATGACAGGTGTCTCACGGATAAACAACCTGTATTGTCTAAAAAAACAACCTTTACAACTCTTCATAAAAATAAAGGTCTTAAGTCCTCTACACACAGTCATTCACCCATTCTCACAAATTTGGCAGATTTTTAGTAGTCAAAATCGTTGCCACACGCAGTCGAGCCCTGATTGGACGAAATACGTTTGATTGTGCAACATTCGCAACATTTATGTCTGCTGTTCATCCTAACATTGCTTTTCCTTAAAGCTGACAATGAAGTACTGAACAATGCTTAGTACCTCAAATGGCGCAGAAATGAGTGAGTGAACTGTCTTTAAAGCTGTGCTGCAACACATTTTCTGCATGGTCGAAAAACGCTGCCGATAGATACTCGAGAACAGTTGCCAACCGTACGGTAATTACCTCATTTGTAGGGTATTTGCAGAATTTTTCGGAGAGCATAGGGTAGCCGGGCAGTAAGGTGATTTTATTATCAAGAGTAGGGTAATTTCACTTTTCGCTCTTCATTGTTCAGAGAAAGATGTGGACAATCGACGCGACTTCCCCGAGGTTGACATTGCTAAATACAACAGAAAAACTACATTTTTTAATAAAAATAGAAATGTTTTAATTCGCTTGTCACCATCATAGGAAAGAACCGAAAGATTATAAGTCAATCTTTCGAGGGCGGGGTGATCAATACGATGAATGGAGAAGACGAAAAAGAAGAGGATTGAAACCATCGAGTCATCTTTGAAAAGCAAGGCACCATCTCATTCATGACCTATCCCCCTAGGTGGGTGTCGCCAAGGTGTTGAGGAACCAACCAACCAACCAACCATCTTCGATGAGGGCGCAAGGGAACAGTTCTTGTGATAACAGAGGGGGGGGGGATGACAGAGTGTCATTTTTAATAAGGCGGCAACCTGTGATTCACCAAGCTAAATATAATAATAATAATTATAATAATAATAATGTTATTATTATTATTGTTCATCATCATGAGTGGTCGTCATCTTCATCTGCTGTGGGGACTTGGCTTGCCTGAGTTCTGTGCCTTGAGTGTGGTCGCTTCATCGTGTTTTGTGGGCCTAGAAAACATTGCCTTCACCGTTGCGTCACAAGTGGTGGAGTGTGCTCTGCGATCTTCCGTCCTCTCCCAGCCCGATTTACCTCCTGGAGCTCCGCTCAGGTCGTCGTCTGTGCTAGGTGTCCGGTAACATGCCTCAGGACGAGCCAACCGGCGCTTCTGCATCAACCTCCACGGCCCCGGCTACCACGGCCTATCCATCGTGTATTATCACCGCGCACCAGCGTGAGCCACCCACGTTTGCCGGACTTCGAGGTGAAGATGTGGAGGATTGGTTGGACCAATTCAATCGAGCGAGTTCCACTAACAACTGGGATGGTCCTACCAAGCTTCACCGTGTTTCTTTTATCTGACAGGCGTAGCGAAAACATGGTATTTCAATCATGAAATGGACATCACGGACTGGACACAATTCAAGCGATAACTTCGCCAATTTTTCGGCACCCCGGCGATTCGTTCAGCTCTCGCGAAGAAGACACTGGATGCTCGCAAGCTACAATGTGGTGAGTTACACCTCGTACATAGAGGATATGCTTGCTCTCTGTCACCGTTTCAGCACGTCCATGTCTGAATCAGAAAGAGTTCGTCATCTATAGAAAAGGATAAGCATGGTTGCGTTCAATGCTTTAGCCATACAAAACCCAACCACAGTCGCTGATGTTGTTGCCACCTGCCAACGCCTAGAGGAACTTGAGTCCCAACGGTTACCGCCGGACAGCGCTGAAAATACAACAATGACTGATGCCTCATTGCGTGCTATGTTCCGGGCGATTATACGGGAACAGCTGCAATCTTTCGGCCTCTCAACGACACCAAGTCCACCACTCCCCTCCGACGCTGCTTTGCGCGACTTTAACTACGAGTGCGCCCAGCCAGCCCTTTTACCCACTATGGCGGCCATCTCGTCCGATCTGTTATTACTGCGGATACCGGGGCCACATTGCACGCTTCTGGCGGAAGCGTCAGCAGGACGAGTGTCGTGGATTCTACCCCTACGGGCGGTATGATGAGACAAGCGGGTCCGCTTTCCAACGTCGTCCTTATGATCCGCCGCTACGTCGCTCACCGTCTCCAACTGCGACATCTGAGCCAACCTCTTCTTACTGCTCTACTAGACGTCGCTCACCATCACCCTTCCGCCGCTCCACGTCTCCATCGCAACCTGTCTCGCAATTCACCAACCAATGCCCGGAAAACTAACCTCTGCAGCTTTTAGAGGAAAAGCTGCATTGAACGAAAAGACAGAAATTCCTCTAGTGCGTCCATATAATACGATATCTGTTTTAATAGAACGTGCGTACGTGGACGCTTTAATAGACACTGGTGCTTGTTTGTGTGTGATTGATCGTTCCTTGTGCTCACGTCTGCGAAAAGAAAAAAAAATCCCGAAAAAAAGACTCCTGCATGCGGAATCGAACGTGGGACCTCCGAGCCCTGAACGCGAGGCATTAATCACTGAGTCACCGAGAGGTACCTCCTTGACCGTTCAAATGGGCAGTTATTTGCATCTACCAGCTACCGCTGTTGGCAAGCATCTCGGGGAAGGGAAGGAGAATGTCGTGTTTTCAGCACAATCAGCAAGATGACGCAATGAGCACGTGGCGGCTCTCATCTTTCACGCGTACTTTGGCCCGCATAGAGGAGGGGAGGGGAGTGAACGATCTCTCGTGCGCCCTTATCTCCCGGTCGGGAGAATCATACGTCTTGCATGGCGTTGGGCTTGCACTGGAGCAATTCTGTTGTAGTGATGGGGCGCACAAAGTTCACTGCAATTGTTGCACAGCGTCTGTTTGCGAAAAGTGCGCGCTTTTCAGACACAGCAAAGTAATAACCGAGACGCTTATTTGCTTTCATCGGTACCTAAGAATACATTTTGTGCGTCATTTGTGCATGAGAAACGTGGGCCACGTTTTAATCTGCAAGCCATTGTGCAGGTCACCTGCAAAGTTGTTGCTATCACGTTCATTTTTTCACTTTTGCGGCAAAGTGGTGACTTTTTTTGTAACAGCAAGCTCACTGAAAGCTACGCAAAAACTAAGTGGACACAAATGGGTAAAAAAATAATGCGCCCCTTCTTCAGCCCACGAAATGACCTTGAGAACTTGCATTTCTTTTTCGAACGTGTGAGTTGCTTTTAGTGTGCACCTTGCTTTTCATTTATACTTCGAACGCACCGCTTGCTTTCAGAGCACGTGGCGGCACTGCCCGGTGGCTGCGGTAACTATGCAAACTGTCACGTCGAAATGAGTAAGCGGCCAAAGTCTTGAGTTCGAGGTGCAATAATTTATACATATGGCATCATTGGTAGGGAGAAATAGGAGCGATGTCTAGCTGACTTTAAGAATGAATAAGAAATTACAGGCCGCGTGATGCGCTGTAATTTTTGGCTCACCTGTTCTCAGAAGCCTCAACTACTGTTTGGCAGTTTTTAACTTATTCTGAAAAGACCAGAGGTAGTCGAATTCAATCGGAGTCCTTTACTGCATTGTATCTTATAGCTTAAGTCACGTCGGGAAGTTAGACCCCAAAAGCTCAAATAAGCCACATCTACAAGTCTATCAGGCTTCTGACGTCATCATAGGCCCGGACTCTCATATATTCAAATACATGTTCAATGCTATAGGGATTAAGTCAGCCGATATCGAGATCTCTAGAGTCACGTTTGTGAGATTAGTAGCTTCCAGGCCATATTTGCGGTCCCTTGCACCCACCATGTGTGCAAGTAGTCGGATGCTACGATGTCCTCTGAGTAATGTGGTAAATTATTTTACACAGTACTTTACAATCATCTTCACTGATAAAATATACCAGTTTCATAAAGCAACCAGTTTCCAAATCTACAAAGAAAACATTGACTGATTGATTGATTGATATGTGGGGTTTAACGTCCCAAAACCTACGAAGAAAACATAATTGGCCTTATAAAACATCACAGTTCCCATGACTATGACATTCTGATAGCTGAAGATCTGAAACAACTTGGAGCAGACGTATTGAAAATGTTGGAGTGTCATGAGGTTTTTTTTTGTAGCTGCCGTATTTGCTTTATTAAAACTAAAAGGAAAGTCATAAATGCCTTGTTTATCTCTAGCTTTGAAAACACAGCATCCGGTAAATTCTCGTGACCTCTCAAGCAAGACCTAAAAAAAAACAGACTTCGAGACGGATCCGTGTTCAGCCATTTTACACTAGCTGTCAAGTGTTTCACCAAGTCACTAAGCCAGAGCTTGAAAATGCTTTGGCAAAAGACCTTAGACAAGTTACATGGTGGGTGAATGAACACGTTAAAAGACGTAATATTGCGTGACAGAAGTGTAGACTCGCACCAAGCGTCCTACCATGCAATTCACGTGAAAGGTGGGTGGTGTAATATTTGCCACCCATTACAAAGTTCTCTGTAATCATCATCATCGTCAGCCACATTGTCAACAAAGTGTGCTGCTGTACACATACGTGCGTATTCCTTTCC